TGCAGTGGCGCAATCATAGCTCACTGCAGCCATGCCCTCCCCGGCTCAAGCGATCCTCCTGCCTCGACCTCCCAAAGTGTTGGGATTACAGGCGCGGCCACTGCACTCGGCGAGAGTAACTTTCACTGCACTTCTGAAAGCTCGTGGGCAGCTCCTGCCCCTAACAAAGATGGCGACACCGCCACACATGCTCCTAGCACTCTCCGGCGGCCTGCCCTTCAAACAGACGGCCGCCGCCTCATCTAGTTTGAAGGCCGAACGAACACAGCCACGCGGCATCCAAATCCCACGGGAGCCTACGCCGCGCAGAAACAGGACGGACTTCGTACGACTCTCGCGATAATACGGGCGGGCTGAAGGCTGCTCACATCTTACCAGCCTGAATAATCGCGCCCGCCGCCGTGGGGCCTAAGACTCTCGCGAGACAGTATCCACCACTTCCCGCCCGTCAGTCCTTCACGGTCCCCGAACCGCCTGCTGGTTGAAGTGCAGCCTGTCAATCAGAGTCGTGCTCGAGGCCCCGCCCAAGGCCGTGTACGCCGCTCCTTACGTAAGTTCCTCTCCAGCCCCTGCGTAGTCGATAAGGAAACCCGGACGCCACTGCCGCTTTCTTTTTTCAGGCCGGCCGGGAAGATGGCGGACATTCAGGTGTGGGCTCGGGGCTTGGTGTCAGGCTGCAGGGTCCGCCCTGGCCTTCAGGGGCGTATCCGGGAGGGCAGAGCCGGGCGCCCAAGTTCGGGGGTTAATTCCGGGCGTCCGTGATTATTTTCTAGAGATTAGCTGGGGCGGAGGGCGCATGCTTTTGCCTTTTTCTAGACGAGTGCTTCCTAATTCCTGGGGGCTTCGGGCGTTAATGGAGGCTCAAGCGTTTTAGGACTTACCTTCTTAAAAACCAAGTTTAAGAAGGTTTTCTTGGAGTTTTCCGGTCCTAAGGGTTAATTCTATGGAAAAGGACTCCTAAGGGCGAATCCAAGGAGCCTGCCGTTTGGTATTTAATTTTGAGTTTTTATGTACTACATAAGGAGTGAATCCTGGGTGGGCGAGCTTGGGTCTTGGAGAGTGATCCTCGCTGAAAGATGTCCAGGGTGTGAGAGGGGTGGTCCTGATTTAGAGGATGAATTTTGCAAGCCCTGGGAGGCCTTCTGGAGTATATAAATTGAAATAACCTCGGGCTTAGATCTGAGTATGAATTACAGGTAAGGTCGGGGTGGTCGTGTCTTAGAGGGTGATTCTGGGGCACCAGGCCTTGGAGGCCAGCGCTTTGCGAGTAAATGTAGAGAATGGGGTCTGGGAGGTTCTGGGAAGGTCTCTAGGGCTGGTTGCTGCCGGCTGCAAACTTAGCAGCTCATCAGTTTTCTCATACCTGTAGACTGAGCGTGCCTACCAAAAGCAGCCGACCATCTTTCAAAACAAGAAGAGGGTCCTGCTGGGAGAAACTGGCAAGGAGAAGCTCCCGCGGTACTACAAGAACATCGGTCTGGGCTTCAAGACACCCAAAGAGG